CCTCCAGTCCTTTCTACCCCCCACCAGCAACAAAATGACATTGAAATGGAAGTTGATGAACAACATCCAAAAATGGAAATTGATCAACAACAACAAATTCCTATTAAAACTCAAAATTTTATTGAACAAAATCTTACTTCCTCTTCTAATAATGCTAAAACTTTAAATACTTCCCCACTAATTTCCAATCCCCATTATGAACCTTTAAGCAGTCCCGAACCTGAAACTGACAAAATTTCAAAACCCCACCCAATAGAGTCAACCCCCTCTCTAAAACTCCAAAATAACCCAATTCTTGAGGACACAACCCCACAATCCTTTTCAATCAATAACCCCCAACACATCACTACGGAAACACGTAGCCATAGTGATTGGTCTCCACTTAATGATAGTTGGTCCCCTCTAAGACGTGAAATAAATACAACCCCTCCACCTACCCAATATTTAGATCCAAACAATATTCCTACCCAAACTTATACTCAACTCCCAATCACCGGTCTGGAAATAAACAAGTAATTTATTTCCAGAACTTTTCCCCGTATTATAGCCGCCAAAGCATCCCGGGGCAATAAATCACTTCTCTGGCCCGACTTTTTGGAATTAGAACAAAACACTACCACCAAATTTGACATTGGTGACACAATACGTTTCGAAAGTTTCCGACCTCTCACTGCTGAGGAAATAAACAATCAACCTGTCCTTCCTCCCAAAATCTCTAATATAGGTATAGGACCAGAATTACTTAGTCCCCAAATTCCATCTCACATTGGTCAAGGATTCGTGCTCAGTACAAGAGATTTGTTGACTGAAGCAGGGAATCTGATTTGTCCAATGGCACTGGTAGAAACTGACTCCTCAATTCTTCCCAACCTAATTCCTCTCCACCCTGACCATAAACTAGAAGTCGGTTCTTTAATAGGTGTTGTTTGCAAAACATTACCCCCAGGCACTATAGTATCTGAGGAATTTTTATTACCACAATCCTTTACAGTTACCCCTTCACTTTCAAAACAACAAAAACGTGCCGGCCCGTCAACTACTTTTGCCACTGAAGCTACAAGTCCATCCGAGTTTGTTTTCCCCTTTTCATTAAAAAGAAATAAAAATAATGAAATTGATGTCCACAGAATAATAGCCGCCGCACTCCGCACATTAACGTACACTCAAACCAAAATTCATTCCTCTACTCTCATTTATACCAAACTTAACCCCCACCCCTTTCACAAAAATAGACCAATTTTTCAGATTAACCACACACCCAAGAATTTAAGAGAATTAGTTACATTTACTAAAATTTGGGAAAAAGATTCACCCCTAATTGCCACACTCGAAGATAACCCTGAAACTCCAATAGCCCAAGGAACAATAATAGACATTGTAACAATAGATAATTCTTTCCAACTCATCATCTCAGTATACCTTAAACAATTAGAAAACCAAGACGAGTATATTCCACCCCTTGAAGGCGCTTATGTGCACCTTCAAGTACCTTACACTCCCAATCAAATGAACAAGAGGGCAGATTCCTGGTCAGCACTTGAACCACTCCGACTCACCGAAAATTCATCCCCACAAGCAACATTGTTGAAACAAATTTTAGGTATTGACACAAGACCTCGACTTAAAAACACCCGAGACCTCGCTCATGCCATATTTGCTTATGATTCTGAAACTCCTCCGAATGAAGAACAATTAAGAGCAATTGATCTCATTTTTAACCCTTCCCCGTCCATAGTTGTTACATTAGCTCCTCCGGGAACCGGAAAATCACAAATTATAGGAATAATGGCCCTACAACTCATGAAAATAGATAAATGTCCAACTATAATTGCTCACAGCAACCTTGCTATGAGTAAAATAGTTGAATATATATGTCCCGAGCTCTCAAAATTAAACAAAACTGCACTGGTCCTATTATCGGCGAGAGCTAAGGAACAGTACATGGAACTCTTTAACGATTTTAAGGAACATTTATTAATTACTTCCCTCCAAGACATTGACATTGACTCCCTCAAAATTAAGGACAGAAGAATTGCACTCAGATATAAAGAGAAGGCTTTCAGTAAGCCAAAAATGGCTGATGAAAAGTCAACCGCCATTATTGTACTTACATCTGACATATCACCCCCTACTAGGCTATCAACTGTCTCTATGTGTGAGGACGTGTCGACACTGATAGTCAACACGACCCACCTTTTTATTGACGAAGCAGGCCAAACCCCAACCAGTCAAATAATCCATATCTTAACCTATGCAACAAAATTAGAGAAAATTTTTGTCACCGGGGATCAAAAACAACTGGGTGTTTATAAAGAGGACATCCCAAAATACCTCCACAAATATGGCTTCAACTCCATATTAAACCATGCACTCTCAATACCCTCAATCCCAGTCATTAAACTCACTAAATCATATAGAAGTCACCCAGCTTTAACAAATATAGTAGCCGAAACTTTTTACGATTTAGACCTAGAACCCGGGGTATCAGAAAATCAAAGAGCCGAAGCACTCACATTCCCCTTCCCAGTAAGTAATATACCTCTCCTCTTAGTACACACACCCGAAAAAGATGAGAGAGATAATCACTCATTCTCCCGCTTCAATACCTCACAAACACAAATAGCTAAATTAATAACCGAAAAATTCCTAGAAACCACCAATTTACCAATTGTGATTATCTGTTTGTATAAAAAGCAAGTTGAAGAATTAAAACTCTTGAACTTGCCGAGAACCAAATGCATCACGGTCGATGCATACCAGGCTCGCGAGGAACAAATCATAATCCTTGTAACCACTAAAAAACTCCCAGAAAACATTACAGATTATAAGAATTCCCTGACTTTCATTAATGATCCCCACCGGGTAGCCGTTGCAATCTCTAGGGCCAAACAGGCTTTCTGCCTGATTGGAGACTTTGACACCCTTAATGAATGTGAATCCTGGCGGAAATTTATTAATATTGCCACCAGATACACACCCGTAATTAATCACAATTTACTTTTTAGACAGGCACCTTCATCTTCTTCAACTCAAAATGAACAACCGGCACCACCTCCATCAAAGAAACCACACATGGCTGGAATGACAACAAAACCATCCCAGTCAACCACACAACCCGCCAAATTCTCTAAATTCTCTAAACCAATCCCCCCATTGCTAAAGAATGCTAAAACATTCTCTTTCAATAAACCACCAATCCCTTCTCTTTTTGGTAATCCCACACATACTATACCAAATTTTTCTCCCTTCCTTCTCCTACCTCATTTCGTCCACAATATTCTCAAACTTACTCCCCACATTACCAACAATCTACCTCCCAATTCCCATCCACTTCTTATCATCACCCTCAACATTACAATCAATTTAATTTTCCACACCACCCACAATTTCCTCATGCTCCACAAAATATTCCATCTCACAATAATACCCAAATAAAATTCTTTGATAACCATTATTGGCAATGGTGTAAGGTTAAGCAAGAATGGTACAAGGTCCCTCCTCCCCCAAATAATTAATTAGAAAATTTAGTTATCAAATTTAAGTAATATTTTTAATAATTAAATTCCCCTTTCCCCCTTCTCCAAATAATTAAATTTGAAAATTTAATTGTCAAGTTTAATTGTCTCCAAATTCAAACCTCCACCTCCTCCTTTTCCCCTCAAAATTTTTTTTTGTTGTTCTCTTCAACCCGGCACATTAGAGATCAAACGGTGCTAAAAATAATAGTACACCATTTAATCTTTAATGCACAAGGTGAAATTTCCAAATATACTTCCCCCACTTATCCCTTGTTTTAGCGGCGAAATAAATTCACCACTAAAACACCCAACTCCCCTACACCCAAAAATGAAACAATTCGTAAGCGTGAGGTCACGCTTATTGAGGGGCGATAGATGTTACGCGGGACGGACAATACCAGACTTGAATACCCCCACCAATGCCATTCCTTTTCCAATCCCCGACTCAATCATATAGGCTCTCCCTTCCCTCTCTTCTCTATCATTTTATCCACTTTTCACCCCCAAGCCCCACCCCCTTTCTCTCTACTACTTGATTGGAAGAAGGAAGAAGATGTTGGTTCATTCTCCTTCGTTTGTTTTTGTTTGGAATTGTTTTGGAATGGAGATGAGAGTGTTTATTGGATTTAATATTATTTTTGATTTTGCCTTGTATTTACTTTTATTTTAAATGCCTTTCCATTTTTATTTGTTTTAATTATTTAACCCACTTATATATTTTGATGCCTAAATAAATATTTTGTTGAATCCCGGCCTTATTTATTGAGATTAGGGAGTCCTCTGCGCCACCCCAATACCGGCCCGTCGTTTTGTCATCTTGTCTTCCTCCTCCCTTCCCCCTTTCAGGCGCTCCGAAGATACCGGGAGGACGGTCGGGCGTCCAAGTCCTGACCGTCCGTCCCGCGTATAACTATATTTAATTATTTCATCAATAAACTTTTTGAGTTCATTCTTTGTCATTTTATTTAAATTTTCTGTAGCTCTGTCGACAGCCTTTTTTGATAAACCTATTTCCTTGTGATTTTTATTTATTTTTAAAGCATTGCCGAAGGCAGTTAAATATGGAAATAATTCGAAAAATTCTTCTCTTAATTTGTTTTTATCGGTCAAATTTTTGACGAAATTATAGAGAAATACTCGCAATTTCTCCAGCAAATTTTCTCCATGCTTCTTGATTTTACTGAGTTTAAAATAGAGCTTTTCTATGGGCGTTTTCTTCATTATAAAATTTTCAATAACAACCACAAACGAATTAATTTGTTTAAACTCATTTAGGAACACAATGTTTTTGCTGTTTGAAGCTTTATTTCTTATCCAATCAATTGGTCTCTTCAAATAATTGAATATTTTCTCAATTAAACGATCCAAAAAACTTTTGTTCTCCCCATTATCAGAAAGCTGTATTGCTCGAAAATCAACAAAATCTGGTGTGTAATTGTTACTGGAATCTCCACTTACTGAAAAATAATAATCCTTATTTAGTCATGATAAATTACAAAAGTGACTAAAATGCAAAAACATAGCCTTCAACAGACTAAATGCTTTATAAAAAAATAAGTAATACTCACATTTAAAATCAACATCATTAATCAAATTTATCATTTCATTGATCAAATCATTAACAAAACCACTTTGTTGATTCGATTTACCTCCCTTATATTTGTCAAACAATTTAATAGACATTTCTTCCAACAATTTTTTAATTGAATCAAAATTAATTGACTTAATCTTGTCTAATTGCTCGTCAGATATTTTCAACAAAATTAATTTATTTTTGTTCTCTTTATCATCTCCTTTCCCTACAGCTTGATTCAACGCTAGAGCTAATGCTAAATATTTTGCATACAGATAATTTGAGCTGAATGCGATCAAATCTTCCATTTTTTGGTTGTTTATCTTAATTCTTCCAAATGACTTCGAATCTAACTTGTCCAAAATATCATTATTGATTTCTTCAATAAGATTTTTGACAACAGAAGAGCCAGGCACTTTATTTAGATCAATAAACATTTTATCATTTGAAATTTTGACTTTCTTCTTATCAATTTTAATGTTAAAAAGATTTTCAACACTTGTTAAGGCATTTGTGAATGCTACAATGTTTTCTCCATAATGTTCAATGAATCGATTGTAGGACATGACTTGGGAAGCATTTTCTATAAATTACAAATTCAAAGGAATTAAGAACACGTTCGAAAGATATTTCACTTACCAAGATTTAAAAGGCGTTTGCACGCGTATTTAAAAACTTTGTCATTCCATCCTTGAAGATTAAAATTAGCATTGTTTATTTTGTCTTCAAGCTCTTTCCTTTCATTTACTTTCATTAGATGAGTAATGCTTTCCTCATCATTGCTATATGAGAGAATAAGTGTTCGGATCAAGTCATCCACATGTAAAGATGTTTTATCTTGTTTTTGATTTTCAAAAGCTTTCATCGCGCAATTGAAACGCATAAGAAAGAAATTATTTCGTGTTTTTTTATTTTCCAATATTACTATATAGTCGGAAATAGTAGGGTTCTCCAGGCACCTTTGCTTAAAATTTTTTATATAATTCCGAATCTCTTTCATTGGATTGTTTAACCATCCAATCTAAATTTAGTGAAATATTTTAAAGCCATTCAAGAACTAGAAAAAAATTTTCAAGAACATACCTTATTTTCTATTGGCTTTTCATTACAGTTTGGATCAAAACGCCAATTTAAAAACTGATCAAGTTGATCAGCATCGAACGGAATTTGACCCTTTGAAAACTCTTTAAAATCGACTTTTTCATTGACCATTTTAACCAATTTTAAATCTGGATGAAGAGCTATCATTATCTTCATTGCCACATTTAAATCCTCTAATTTTTGAGTGGAAACAATTTCTAATAAAGCATTTGTGTCTTTATTTTGAATTGATTCGTACATTGTAGTTGCAATATACAACGGTTTGGTAAGCAGAAATGATCGGAGAAGTTTTTCGTTAATCTCCGATAATTCGTGAGGTTTTGAATTTTTCATTTGAAAAAGTCCTCTATCTTTAGTGAAAAAATTATCAACGCATTTGGTATAAAGATTCAAACGAGATTTAGCGTCATTATTGTTAATTCCTCCATTGAGAAGTTCCTAAAAATTTTTTTAAAAATTATTTTAATTTCTTGTGAATTGTTGAAAATATATAGATAAAAAAGTACCCTGATTGGATTTCCAATTTTATCTTTCTCACTCTTCATGTTGTCGCATAATGCAGCAATTCCTCCAACTCGGGCTAGATCATTAAACATCGCCATATCATTCAAAAACATATTTACACATTTCTCTTGTTCATCACATTTACGAGCATTTTCTAAAATCCAAGCAATTTGATTCTTTACATGTTGATCAATTTCATCTATTTCGGAAGAAATGTCGAATTCTTCCTTTGTTTCGAAAAACTCATCATTTTCTTCGTTAGACCCTTCTCCACTTCCATCAACAATATTAAAACAATAAATTAACAAAATGTAATTTAAAACAATTAGTTTTAACATTTTTAATCTTAATTAAAACAAGTAAATATATTTTCAATGAGAATAGAAGATTAAATCGAATCAAGATGTTTAATTGTTATACCTTGGTATTTAAAATTAATGAGGATTTACTATGTATGTATATATTTACTCTCTTTTAGAATTATATATTTTAAATGCAGTGTATCGAAAATAAAATTTCTAAATAATTTTTTAATGAGGGTTTATTCAATTTTTATAAATATTTAAAGGCAGTTAATAGCTCGCTCCACTCCCAACCCCATTCTTAACATAGATAGTCAGAGGAGTCGAATTTATAGACTATTAAAGTATAAAAGTGCAAGTATTCGTGGACTGGTCGTCCCATTGGCTTTTATTTATCCCATGAATGGTATCATTAGAAAATAAAATTCTAAATAATTTTTTTACAATAAAGATTCATTCAATTTTTATAAATATCTAAAGTCAGATAATAGCTCGCTCTACACCCAACCTCACTCTTAAAAAGATAATCAGAGAAGTCGAATTAATACATAGACTATTAAAATATAAAAATTTTTGTCGCATGAATAGAAAAGTGATAGGCTATTCGTGTATCGAGTGTCCCATTATTTGTCCCATGAATGGTATTATTAGAAAATAAAAATTTTAAATAATTTTTTATTTTTTAAATAAAAAGATTTTAAAAGAATCCTATCAGAGTTTGGCTCTCTTTACTTATATGCCATATTTTCTCATAAGTCGAAACGGACCAAACATGGTGTCAATTGAAATATCTAAGCGACTTGAGTCGAATAACACCAAAATTAACGAAATCTGACTAATTTGAAATAGTTACGAATCCATGAAATCATACTTGATCACTCCAAATCCCCTTTGATCTTACCAAGTCACTCTTAATTCCTGAATAAATAACGAATATAGATTCAGTTAAAAAAATTTTTTTACTAAAACCGATACCCCGACAAGAATCTCGACCATATCTTAACTCCGTACTACGAGATGCACACCCCTACCATTAGGGATCAACCCCTAATACATATAAATCTATTTGCCAATTTTTTAAATAATAAATACATTAAAGCGTATAAGAAAGCAACAAATACATTCAAAAAAGAGATATAATACATCCTGAAAATGTTAATACATATACATATTACAAATAATAGTGTGAAATTTTTTGTTTATTAAAAAATAAATAATAAAGCAAAAATTAAACGATCTAAAAAATTAAATTTTGGTATGGTAGGACAATTACTAACAGTGTAACGGTGATTTTGTTTCTCTCTTTAATGGTTATCAAAAATCCGGCGACTATTTAATAATTTTTCCAGGATTGAGGCCCTGTCGGAAATTTTCATTAAGAGAGAAGTATTAGATAAAGTATCTAATAAAGACATCTAATAAAAAATCAATCTAAATCACTTTTAATCAGTTAATCTTGAATTCTTTTTCAAAGCATGAATTTCAGTTGCTAGGTGGCTGTTGATTTAAAATTGAATTAATATTTTTATATAATAATAAAGATAGGATTTAGATGATAACTACTAAATTTTTTTATTATAACTAAATTAAATAATTTTTTTGGTGAAGAAAATTCCCAAAGTTCCCGATTTTTCAAAAATATTTCGGGAATCGGGAACGGGAAATCTTGATGAACTTTTAATTCAATATTTCCGAAAATAGGGCCGACCCAAAAAACGTCGGGAGTGTTAGTTTTTTTATTTGTTAGTTTCTAGTAATATACATAATTTAAATTATTTTTTTCACGTATAACCTGTTGTAGAAAATTTAAAACATAAGTTATCGAATTTGCTAGTTGAGTAAGCTATACATAAAAATTATTTATTTTGTTATTCACAAGTTATTCATTAATTAATTTTTTAGAAATACAGGGTGTTTCAGCTGAAAAGCGCTATTTGAAAAATCCATAACTTTTTACACCATGGACAGATTTGAATGAAATTTGGTATTTTGCATCTATATTTTATGGCAATTTTTTTGACATAAAAATTATGTCGAAATTCGAACCCTAACCCCGTATTTCAATTTCGTACAATTTCGTACTCTACCGTTCTCTTTTCTTTCTCTTTTCATTGCGCGCTATCTTAGTGCATTTATTTTCCTGCGTATGGCGAAGAGTGGATACTGTATTGAAAATGTAGTGTCTATCACTTAGTGTTTACTCTAATGTCTATCGTCCCTCAAAAAAAACAAAAGGAAGTAAGAATGCTTGTGCGGAAAAAGGGAAAAACAGAACGATAGAGTACGAAATTATCTCGGGTTAGGGTTCGAATTTCGACATAATTTTTATGTCAAAAAAATTGCCATAAAATATAGATGCAAAATACAAAATTTCATTTAAATCTGTCCACGCAGTAAAAGTTTATTAATTTTTCAAATAGCGCTTTTCAGCTGAAACACCCTGTATCTTTGAGGTCATATTTAAATGCTTCTCTAAGATTTTTTATTGAGAGTTTATATGCGGGGATTTTAATTTGTGAATTGTTTTAATCAACAATTTGCATTTGCCTAGAAAATACAGGGTCCGTAAAAAGTCATCCTTATCCACTTTTTTGCATAAAAATTTAATCATTGGAATTTTGCCAAATAAATTCAAAAATTTGTTTGCAGCTGAAAAATCTAAACGCATGCCCTACAAAGGCGGAATTTCTTAAAAAACATCAAATTATTTATTTCCTGTCAAGCATAAACATAGAAAGCTACAAATTTTATAATTATTAATAAATTTACACGGTTTTGTAGTCTGCTATTATCAATAATTGCTGGAACCAACTCAAAATCACTTCTTATTGTTTGATATTGCTGAAGAAGATTTAGAGTTTGTTGGATCTATAAAATTTTCGTCGTTTATTTTTAAATGACTTGTAAACTAATGTATACCCTCAAATAATTTCACAGGGTAATTATATATATTGACCGTATTTGGAACTAAATACTTAAATTTAAGAATAAATTTAATATTCTGTAATAAAATTCCGAGTAGGTAACGTATCAGAATTTGAAATTTTTTGCGGATACTGGATCACTAAATCACAAGATTCTAGATAGATATTATCATTAAATTCATTTATTTGAAGGGTTATTAATTAATCTCCATTTTACAGATTAATTAATATATAATGTAAATTCAACCAGATATTCAGATCTTTCTGTAGTTGACTGCAATTGTGCGACTAAATTATTGTACCCTTGCGCAAGATTAACCATACTCATTCTTGCCTAAAAATTACTTGAAATTTTTGATTTCTTAATGAAAAAAAATTTTCCCTAAATTTAATCTTGCTTTTACTATTAAAAAAATTTTAAGCCCGAGATCTGGATTTCAGTGATTTAATGTTGAATAACGTTAATATAAATATTTATAAAAATTTATTGCCTCTGCTTACAAGGAAGATTGCTTAAGAGGTATTTCTGTTAATAAACCATTTTACTGTAAATGTGTAATCCTAGTCTAAAATAATTTTCTAATATAACCTGATTTAAAATTTCTCTATCAATATCTTCTACGAGTTGTGAAATATTTGCTCGCATTACTGCACGCTATAGAATATTTTTTGTAAGATAATTTATAAGATAATAATTTAATAGTCGAAAGCAGTGGTGGGTCGGAACAGTCAGAGGTCTCGGAAATCGGAAGAGCCGGAAATCGGAAATGCTCAAAAGTCGGAACTCTGAAATCGGAAATTAAATTTTTTTTTGGAAATCGGAAATAGGAAGGAAAAAACGTCGGAAATCGGAAGTCAGAAATCGGAAATTTTCAAAACTGAATTAATATATAAAATTTTAAAGCGGCAAATTATGTGCATAAAAGGAAGTGACTGACTAGCCAATTTTTTGTGTATTTATATTAAAAATTTATAAATTATGAGTAATAAATTTACATTATTTTCGGTCATTCCTTGAGCCGATGCATATTGCTGTTCAAGATTGAGAGCATGCTGTGCCTAATAAAATTTATTTTTAATATTATTACAAAATACATTGGATTAGCGAACTTTGAAAATCCTAATTTTCCTAATTGATATTTAGTATCCAAGGATTTTATAAATTTATAATGATAAATTTAACCAAATTATGCAATTCAATAATATGATGTCCTTGTCTATAGATATTAAATTGAGCGTTTAGATGATCGGATGTTTCTTGAATTAAAGCAAGAGCCCTTCTTTCCTAAAATTTATTTTGAAATTTTATTTTTTAATATGAACTCATTTGGAGAAACAGCAAATATAAATCGACCTCCGTACTTCGAAAATTTAAAATGACTTATTTGTAATTACATACTTACAAATAAACTTTTAATTGGATGGTTTCTGTTAGAAAAAATAGTTGATTTGTTTAATTATTCACAGTAAACGGGCCATTTGCCCGAAACTTGAGTAAAAATAAATAAACTCTTAAGGTCCGCCAGGTTTGCAAAAAAGAGTAACCTGTTCTCTTCTGCTTAATTCCGCCCTACCATTATTCGACACAACATCGAATACAAAAACAAGCAAAAAAAGAATAAAAGTAATAATAATTTTATTGCTGATCGAAGACATTTTGTCTATAGTAAAGAATTTTAGTATTTCTAAATTTAAATTTATTTTATGAAATGAAATGTAAAACTTAGTTTAATACAAAATTCATGAGATAAAAAATTTATTTATAAATGCTCATAATACACGCAAATCCCTTGATATCTCTGTTTAACACCAAAATTAATTATCATGCAAATCTTTAATATTTCTGTTTATTATTAAAATAAATATAATAAATATACTAAAACACTTTCCAAAGTTTAAAGGAAGAAAACCAAAGAATGAATTATGGCGCCAGAAAAACTAAAAATGGCGGATATTAAAATAGGCCCATAGTTGATTTTTCATTCCTACAAATCTAATTTAAAAAGCCACCGCTCTGGAAATAAAAATTGCTATTTTTTAACAAAATCTTTTAAAACTAATGCATTAAATATTTTAATTTTATTATAATTAATTAATTATGACATGAAAATA